AGGGAGAAAAGTAGTGGGCAGTGGTCATAAGAGCAGGTTTTTCAAGCTGTTTTTCTTTTGTTCCCTTTGTAGCCTCTAGGAGCAGAGGTTCTTAAATTAATGAAAGAACAAAAAAGAGTCCTAAGAAGGAAAAGATAATAACAACATATGCCTCCACTGAGTCACCACCTCACCTTTAGGCTCCCAGCCACTATCCTCAAATCCAGATCCAAGCTACAGGCTATGAGGGGAGCGCATCTAAGGGTGGGAAGGTTCCAAACCAGACCACAGCTACCCCATCACCTTCAACTGAAGCTCTGATGCTCTTCCCCTGGTATTTCATTTTCATTCTGAATTTCCCATAAAATTCAGTAAATTCATTAATAACCCATAATTGAACCCAGCATGCATTTCTTCACCTGAGAAGACTGACCAACTTCACAATGTTACATTTGTATGTCTGAAGCACTATTTTACACCAGTACCACTACCTAAAAACTACTAAACCATGTACAATCTTCAACTACATCAAAATGTGTAGCTGGGAGCCATTTTTAATTTGTTCACAATCAGGAGATTATCAAGTCCTATGAGTAGTCATAGTAAAAGTGAGCAGAGATCTTATTCTGGAAGAAACTTTTGTACAACACAGACAATGCCTTGTACATATCAGGGTTTTGAATACTTCTATGTTTGTTGAGTTAGACTCATCAACATTCCTCAGTTTATCTGTAAATACTCCACCCAAGTTCCCACCTCCAAATTAAAATTAACAATTCTATTTTTGGTTTTAAGGAAAACAGGATTAAAAAAGAGAAGCTTTCTTTATCAGGTAAAGGTATATATCTACGACAGGTGTTATCATCATAATTCTGCAAAACAGGAAAACATTGGCTAGATTTTGAATCCAGGTTTGCTGCCTCAAGTTTGATAATACAAGACTGAAATGTTAATGAAAAGTGATTTTGATTGGTAAAAATGATGCATCAGGAACTTTTTCTCCAGTGTTAAGTATAAGGTCTTTGAGCATAAGAGAGCTCACTGATGATTAAAATTATTTTTAAAAATAGTAATAATTATATATTTACAGTTTTGCTTTCCAAGATTTACTACTATATAACTATTAAAAGTCTTCAATATAAATTAAAAGACAAAACATAAAATGTCAGAAATGTGAAATGAACAAAA